AAGGAAGGAAGGAAGGAAGGAAGGAAGGAAGGAAGGAAGGAAGGAAGGAAGGAAGGAAAGAAAGAAGGGAGGGAGGGAGGGAGGGAACAAAGGCTCTCTAAGCTGAGTTGGCCCCCTTTAAAAGAGCTTTCCTAGAAGTCACACCCAGGGACTGGAAGCCTGATCCTCATTGGCTACGATTAGCTGTATGAAAGACCAAGAAATATAATCTTTAGCTGAGTGTATTGATAACTGAAATAAAACTAACAGTACTGTTTTGCAAGGAAAAATGGAGGTGGGGTGGGTACTAGGTAGGCAGCAATATCTCCCAAAGCATGTGTGAAATCAAGCTTTTGCCCTGGGACCCCAAAGTACATCAGGATGCAAAACAGATCCCCAGAACTTGCTGGTTTACCAGAGTTCAGAGCAGTAGCTTTAACCTGAAATAAACAAGTGCAAAGTTTGAACGCAGAGATCTGAGGGAGGAAGAGTCAGAGAGTCAGAGAGCGGAGGCCTGGGGCAGGGGAGGGGAGGGGGGAGCTCTCGCAGAACGCATTGCTCTCTGCCTGAGGAGTGCATTCTTACTTACCGTTTCTTTTCACTTCTTTTTCATTAAGATATAATTTCATGGTGAAAATTTCACCATTTGAAAGCCTGTTATTTGGTGAATTTAGTATCCATCATGTGGCACAATGGAATTCCAGCCCCTTCCATCACAGATTCCAGACTCTTCTATCGTGTTCAAAGGAAACTAGATGCAGTAGCACTCAGAGCAGGGGGAGGGGCTTCCTCAGCCTCCCCTGCCCCTCCCACCCCTCCCCTACCCAGTGCCCGGTCCTCAAAAGAGCAGACTTGTCACTTCGGTGACTGCTCAGCTTCTTGGAAAACACGGGCTCCATTCCTGGGGCTCTGGGTTACCTTAGCTCCTCTTGAGAAAAGCAAGCACAAGGTGGGGATGCAACATGTCCAGACACAGGAAAGGACATCCCACCTCCCCAGCCTGCCCCCACCCCTGCCAGGATGCTGCAAGATTTGAACCTGGAGCCCTGACAGCCTGCAAGCCACCTGCCTGTGGCTCGCTCCCTGCCTGAGCCAGGAAGAATAGAAAGCTCCGAGCAAGGGCCAGGGTGTCTCCAACCGCTCCTACGCTAAGGTGACACCCTAAGGTGAAGAGGCAGCTTGGAAAGCCTGGTGACTTTACCGTTCATGGGGAAGAGGGCGGGCGGGGGAGGGGGAGCACTTGCTCAGGCCTCAGTGACCCAGATTCAAACAGACCCCCGCCACCCCTGGAGGCACGCACGGTGCCCATTTCTTCACAGACAAAAACTTGAGGTTCGCTTGGATGGAGGAACCAGAATCCCAGCTCCTCCTTCGGAGCGCAGGCGGGGCGTTGTGCCTTGGCCCGTGCCCCTGGGGCACCTGTGGAGGCGCCTCATGACCCGGCCCCGCGGCAGGCAGTGGCCCCCTGTGGCCCATCCTGGGACGGTGACACTCTAAGGGGGCTCAGCCTGGTTTTCAGCCAGTCAGTGGGAGCCGGGCAGGAGCACCCCTCCCTCCTGACTGCTGTCTGTTCCTCTCTCCTCTCAGGCAAAAGGTTGCTGAGAGGCTCCAGGCTTTGGGGTGTGCCCGGTCCCTGTCGCCAGGAGTCGGTTCTGGTGACTGACTTGTCAGAGCTCCCTGCCGGCCTCCGGTGCTCGTGGAAGGCAGAGAGCAGCAGCCGTGGGATCCTGGCTGAGCGGAGTTCAGGTGAAGCCGGCTGGAGGCTGCAGGGTGGGGGGAGGCTGGTGTGTCACACGTCTGAGTGCGGGGGGGGGGGGGGGTTGTGCTGTTGGTTGGTGAAGGGTCAGCATGTGTGTGTGTGTCATCGAGGTGGGCAGAGAAGGGGAGGGCCGAGCGTGCGGAGGATATATATGCTCCACGGAGGAGCCGAGCCTCACAGCCGACTGACAGCGCTCAGGTAGACAGCTGCAGGAGGCCGGGCCCTGCCACCCCACAGCCCCGGACGACGCCGGCCAGCCCGCGGGTCCTCTGCCCCTGCCTTTGTCCAGTGTCACCGCTGCTGGCCTCGGTGAGATGACAACTTCATTCATGGGATTTGCAGAGCTGGGATCGGGGAGGGAGAAGAGGAGGGCTGAGGGTTGGATGGGGATTTTTGTTTCTTCTGGGTTTAGGGGTTGTGTGTGTGTGTGTGTGTCTGTGTGTGTGTGTGTGTGTGTGTGTCTGTGTGTGTGTGTGTGTGTGTCTGTGTGTGTGTTTAATCTCAAAGAGAAATGCAGAAGAAGAAAGCTGAACTTGGAAATGAGGAAAAGTTTTGCTTCTCCAGGGCTGGCCCTGACTGGGTCGATGCTATCTACAGAGAAAAGGTGTCTCCGAAGTGAGGTCAGACACCGTGCAGTATTGGCAGGACACCAGCGAGGGTTTTTCTTTGTGTGTGTGAGAGAGAGAGGGGGAGAGAGAGAGAGAGAGAGAGAGAGAGAGAGGCTTCCTGTCCTCTCCCGATGTTGTGTGCAGGCTGTTTCTGAACGTGCCTTGAACTTGCTGCCACTTGGGTTGGACTTGTTCATCTAAGGGAACCCCTGCTCCTTGACACCGCAGCAGAAATCGCTCCTGATGATGGGAGGGGAGAGGCAGCCAGGACAGGTTCTGCTCTGGCTGAGGGTGATTTTATAGGCATGACCTTGGTCCTTCAGCTCTTAAGCCACCTCCAGGTCTCCTGTCTTTCTTCACATCTTTCCCTTATCGTCCCTTCTCCCATTTAGATGTCTCCGTTTGGGTTGCTTGGAACTGTCCATTCATAAATCATCTGATCATTCTCTCTCTCTCCCCCCCCCTTTTCCCTCAGGTCTTTGTGCATCTTTCCTGTTGTGTGTCTGACTTCTCCCTCCTTTTGCTACCCATCTCCTCCCCTCCCCCACCTATCTCTGTCTGAACATTTCACCCCAGCAAGTTCTGGGAGGGGGCGGAGGGGGGGGCAGATTTCAAGAGAGGCTGGATGATTTGGGAAAGGACTATTTAAAGCAAGCTGCTTTGGACTTGAATACCCTGATCCTGGGCTTAAACATCTGTGTTTAGCTTCCTTGAGCAGCCCATAATTGCCCCAATTATAACCAATAACATTGTTCGGCAGACTAACAAAAGATGAGCTTCGAGAGGCAGTTGCCAGCAAGTCCAAACCAGAGTTTTCGACCCGGGGCGGGGGTTGCTGCCTGGCTTCTTCTCAAAAACCTCCCAAAGAAAAGACTGCTCTTTCTCGCTGCCTGTGGGGGGCTGCTGCTGCCCGCACCTCCTTTTCCCCATTTGGGAAGCATGTCGGGAGGAGTATTCTACTAGCTGCCATTTGATGCCACGATATATTGAACAGAAAGGATTGGTGCTTCTCAGGCGGGCTGAGGCTGGTGCAGGGGAGCTGCCCCACACGCTGCTCCGCTCAGGAGTGCTCTCCACGGCTCTAGGTGATGTCCCAAGCTGCCTGTCAGACATGGGGTTGGGGTACAGCCCAGGGTCATTTTCTTGGGGTGAAGTTTTGTTCTCCAAGGGGGTATAGCCCCCGATTCACCAGCTGAAGGCTGAATATGCTGGAGACGGACACAAAAGTGCAGGAGGTTTTGCATTGCCAATGAAGGGAGTAATTGCGGAATTAGCGCAACCCAGAGCTGTCACCAAGCGATTCCATCCCCAATCAATCACACATTTATCAGCAGCACCCCACCGGGCACGGGAGGCAAAGGCTCCAGAGATTGGACAGAGATGATAATGACAGTACTCTACTTTGGGGCAATCATTTACGTTTTTCAAATCCATTATCCCTGGCAACAGCCCTGCCAGGCAATGTCATTATCTCCGAGTCACAGTTAAGGAAACTGAAGTCCAGCCGTGGGATGATTCGCTCAGTCTGAGGCAGAGACAGGACTGAGTTTCTGCATCCTGGGGTCAGGGGTAGCGGTGAGCTAATCGTGGAGCAAACGTGTGGAATGCAGGGCTGCTTCTCACAATGTGAGCAATGCAGGACTGGGGCGATCAGTCCAGAGAGCAAGGGCTGGACACATCGGGATGGGTAACTTCTTCCAGGGGCTCTGGGAAAGGTAGGGAAAGAGGTAGAACTTTTTGGGTGGAGGACTTTAGAGGGAGGTAGGACAAAAGCACGCAAGGAAGGTGAAGGGATCCACGTTTCCTAAAGCCTTCCATGCGTGACGCAGTGAGCTGAACTCGTCTATGCTTCATTCCTTCCACGCACACGTGCACACTCACACACACACATGCACGGTGGGAATGTGAAGATCAGAAATGCATGAACACATGACCCCAGCCCATAAGGAAGACTCCCATGGTCCTGACCGGAGTCAGCTCACCAGGACTTCTGAGGCAGGCTGGAAATTCTGGACACTTCTATTTAAATAAATGCCCAGAGGAACTCCAGCTTCCTAATAACATAAAGGTTTTCTTCTAACCAAAAACTAGCTGTAAGATGGGGGCACACCCATCTGGGGGTCAAGTCTGTCTTTCTAGACACAGCCCTAGGTTGGCTGCGATCACTTTCATTCTGAACTCTGGTGTGATGCGGTGATTTTTTTCTCAAAGCCCTGACCACGGCTTCAGTGTCACAGAGCCCAGGCTGGCCAGCTCTGAAGGACCAGGCCACGCTGACCACTTCCCAGTGTGTCTCACCAGCACACGGCCAAGCTTCTGCTGCCCGCCATGGCTCACAGCCAAGCAGTCCTCTCTCACTCCGGTCCTGTGATCTCTCCCCATTCATCCTTTCATTCATCCAGCCAAGAACGTGTGTGGAATTCCTCATAGGAGCCGCACAGCGCCAGGGTCGAACCACAGAGCCATCAGATTAATACTCAGAAGCTCCAAATGCCTGGCTAGTGCTCCTAGACGTAAAAGAGCCCAGCCAGTCTGGGCTTGTCTGTCTGACTACCTGCTGGTCTTCTGGAAATTGAGACTTAAATATATACATAGAATATTATTTAATATGTATGCATATATTCACAATCCCACTGTACCCCACGCATTGCATAGTTGTTAGAGAAATGTAGACGTTTTCCAGAAATTAACCCTGAGTGTTGGCAGTCCAGAGTTAAGGAAGTTTGAAGATTATTGGTCTAGACAAGTTGCTCTTATCTGTGTTTTTCTGATCTATTTTTTTTAAAGAACACAGAGTGATTTTGTAAAAGTAAATAAAAGCTTTTACAAGTCCTTTAAATTACCTTGGCAATCTATGTGGGAATATCGGCCAGAGTCAGAAAGATGAAAGTTAAAAGCATTCACTTCCTGGGCTAGAGGGGTGACTGAAGAGGTACAGTGCCTGCCTAGCGAGCTGAGCCCCTGAGCTCAAACCACACTGCACACACACACACACACACACACACACACACACACACACACACACACTGCACACACACACACTGCACACACACACACACACACACACACACACACACACACAGTCATCCCATGCTGCCCAAAGCCATTGTCCCATGAAGTCCTCGTCCCTTCCCTCTTTCCCTTTTTTTTTTGGTTAGTCATGGGGCTTGAACTCTGGGCCCAGGCACTGTCCCTGAGCTCTTCAGCTCAAGACAAGCACTCTACCACTGGAGCCCCAGCAACACTTCCGGTTTTCTGGTGGCTTACTGAAGATAAGAGTCTCACAGACTTTCCTACCCAGGCTGGCTTTGAACCACGATCCTCAGATCTCAGCCTGCTCAGTGGGTAGGATGACAGGTGGAAGCCGCCCACACCCAGCTCCTCTTTTGCCCTTGCTTCCACCTCAAATAGCTGGCCATTCATTGAATCCTAGGATATTAACTATCTAAACATCCAACGGACACTGTTCTCAGAAAGGGAAACTGAGGTGAGGAAAGGGAAGGCCACACCTGAGAGCCCGCAGGTCGGGTGGACAGCACAGGGTCTGGGACCAGGACACTTTCTTCCATGCACCGGGCTCTTGTCATTCAGGGCTGGTCCTTGACCTGGGTAGCCTAGGCAGATGCCACGCCCCCTTCTCCCCAAGCACCACAGCAAGCTATCCGAGGAGGAAGCGACAGAGAGAGGCTCCTTCCACAGAGCCGGTCACCAGCCACGCTCCATGTTGGAGTCCGCTCTGATGGATGCCGAGTGTCCCTCTGTGAGCAGCAGGGAAGGAACAAATGAGAGAGTGTAACACAGAGGCTGAGCCCAGAGCCCTGGGTGGGTGCTGGGAATGAGTCCCCCCACACAAAGACAGGTTGTCACGAGATTCAGGGGTCAGAAGGCTCTGAGCTCCAGCTCGGACCCTTCGCGTCACCTCCGCAAGCCTCAGCCTCCTCCACTGTCCAGTGGGGGTGGTAGCACTTAACCCTAGCACCCGAGTCTCCATCAACCCCTGACTGTGACATACAAGGGGACACCATCAGAATCTGCCACTCTGCTCAGATTGGAAATCATGAGTGGCATTTATAGGTACCCAGGATACAAGATTTGGGAGTCGAGACATGAGACATGAGTCCAGGCTTTACTAGTTACTAACTATAGAATCTTAGGCAAGTTGCTTAACCCTGGGAATTCATGTTTACCACACTAAGGCAGGGTAAACTAACCTCGATTCCAGGATTGTATATAAATATAAAATTCATCTGTAACCTGCAAAGAACAATACGCTTTTTTTTCAGTACTGAGGACTGAACTCAAGGCTTCATGCTTGCTAGGCAGTCTATCTACCACGTGAGCCAAGCCTTCAGCCCCTTTTTTGCCTCGGTTATTTTCTAGGATAGGGTCTTTCTTGTTTTATCCCAGGCCAGCCTGGGCTTTGATCCCCCTAATTCTGCTTCCGCGTGTCACTGAGGTGACGGACGCATGCTGCTGTACCCAGCTGTGATGCTCCCCTGCCCCTGGACAAACAACCAGCCATCGAGTGAAATGGAGTCTCATGTACTTTTATACTTGGGCTAGCCTTGAACTGGGGTCTTCCCTCTCCACATCCCAGATGCTAGAATGGCAGACTTGAGCCGTCATGCCTAGCTTCAAAGAACAATATTCTATATACAGTAGTGGGTGGAAAGCAAGGAGCTTTCTTCTAAGAGAGGAAGGCTCCCTTCTCCCCTAGACCCACCAAAATCAAAGCCTCTCTCAACGTTCGTAAAAACAAAGTCAGTTAGCATCTAGCTTCCATTGAGGCTGCATATCCAATCCTCCAACAGAAAAGCAACTAATTATATTGCCCTTGGAAGCAAGAGTACGTGGAAGTAAATTAAGACTAAATCATGGTACCACAATATTGTAAACAGTAAGACACAATCCAATTTATAAGGTGTCATTACCTAAATGAAAGGTAATTAAGCATTTCTTTATCCAAGACAAAAATAGCCTGATGATAGTATCATCATTCATGAGCTTGGCTCATAGATGCAACACAAACCAGGGAAGACGCAGCCACACTCAGATAGTCACTGATAGCTAGTACTGCTGAGTCACAGGAGAAAATCTGCCATCATCCCATTTCTGCAATTGAGAAGACTGAGGCCCTCGGAAGGGAAATCACTTGTCCAAAGTCCCACCGTTGTGTGGTGTAAACACAAATGCAACCCGTGAATTTGCCTATTATTCAGACTCACATTCACTGATGTCAGTATACATGCAGATTTTCAGACCAGTACATGGTTGTAGTGCTGACTTCTTAAAAATTAAAGACCTCAGCACGGTGCAGCGGCTCAAACCTGTAACCCTAGCTACTCAGGAGAGCAGGTCAGGATGATAGTTCAAAAGACAGGTTGGCAAAAGGTTCTGGAAATCCCATCTTAATGAACAACTGAACATGATGGCACATGCCTGTCATCACAGCTACAGCAAGAAGAATAAAATAGTGGATTGTGGTCCAGGGAAGTTCAGCTAAGAGGCAAAACACTGTCTCAAAAATAGCCAGATCAAAAGGGGACAGAAGTATACCTCAAGTAGTAGAATGCCAGCTTAGCAAGTACAAGGTCCTGAGTTATGTTTTCAAACTGTGATTTAGCATAGCACACAATTAGACTACGAAGCGTGGGATACAAAAGGTGAAGAATGTCCCCTTTGTAACGGTATTCCCACCCAGATGAGCTTTCCCTATCTTAGTCCCATTTACAAACTGTCAACTACCTGTGAGACAGGCCCTGTCGCCATCTCCATCTTGTGGTTCTTTGCGCTGGAGAATGCCTGACATGAAGGGTGGTTTCTGAGCAGCAGGTGGTGCTGCACTTGAGTTTGAGGTGGAGCCAGGTGCCATGGTGCAGGTGTGTGATCAGAACTTGGGATGCTAAGGCTGGAGGATCTGGAGTTCAAGGCCAGCCTGGGTTTTGTCTTAATAACAGGAAAGAAATGGGCACGAGTGATGACCGGAGCCACATCGGTGCAGAGGCACTGTGTTTGTAAGCTGCTTTGTAGAATGGCAGCTCTTTTGTAAAACGACTTAAAGATAATACAAATGTGTTCTTAAGGGAGGTTAACATGGAAAAAAAGAGGGAAGAGAAGGAGAAAACGCGAGACTAGAGGAGATGGGGGCTAAGCCAGAGCAGGAGGGAGGGCCTGGTTACCTCAGAATAGATCTCACAAGTTCTTACCAAAAGCCAAACCAAACAAACCTCATGCCTCACATGGGGCCCAGGCCATCAGACTGCACACCTGCTGATTGTCCCAAGATCTCATCTCCTTTCTTCCTCTCACCCTTAAATCCCATTTACCCGGCATTTGCCATAGCCAGCACGAGTTCCTGAATGTGTACGTTGCCTGTTAATGAAGTTAATGAAAAACCTCAGCAGGAGAGCAGTTCATTAACATCTGTCACAACTTAGCAGCTCAGCTTCTGGGCATGCTGTGTATTAGTCTTGTGTCTGGGTGCCAAGGAAACAGGTTCTTTCCTCCCTGGGTCCCTTTCTTGGTAACATACAGTCACTGCCATCATGTGGCTGTAGAAGGTACAGCTGTGCCGTGCTAGAGAAATTCTACAAACATATCTGAATCGGAAGATGGAAACTAAGCAGGACGGGAAATAGAAAGGCGATTCTCAAACTAAAAAATACTCAGGCAGTCCTTGATTTAAGACTGAGTTATGGGCTGGGAAGTTGGCTCAGTGGTAGAGCGCTTGCCTTGCATGCCTGAGGCCCTGGGTTCAATTCCTCAGCACCACATAAGCAAAAAAAAAAAAAAGACTGAGTTATGCCCTAGAACCTTGTCTTATTTAGTGGCTATCTGGAACTTGAGTTATAACATTCACATGGAAGAAAACAGTTCCAAACTCCTATATAACGCACACAGACATACCATCAAACGCCATGCCAGCCATGCCACCTTGCCATTCTTTGTAGTCAGTCTTAGGATGGCATCTTGCCTTGCTCTGGAATGAAACTATCTCCGACTTGACAATGCCCTGACAAGTACTTTGAGTTGGGAGTGCATTGGACCCCCGATTAGGCCATTCTCAGATACTCCTCAAAACCCCTATTCACTGAGAAGAAGGAAGAGGAGCTCTGACACCTACTATTGTCATTTGTCACACTGCCATTGAGCATTTCTGGCCTGAGTGCTGCCCCCCCTCCCTCCCAGCACTGATGCTAAAAATAAGAGAAGGTGGGACAGGATTGCTGCCCTCTGGGACGTCATGGTGGGAGAAACAGACATGTAAGTACAAGGCTGTAGTATCCAGCGCTAAACACCCTGAGAAACGACTGTCACAGGATCAGCGCCCTGTGCTGGCTTTGTCTTTTATAAACCACTTGGTGGGGTGTCAGGAGCTCTTTTAACTGCTTGAAAACATGAATCTAGTATGGTCAGATGAGGCAGGCACTGGGGTTCTCCCATTGCTATAGGTGGCGGGGCTGAGGGCTGGAATACAGCTAGCAAGAGCCAGAGCCACAAGTCCCTAGAACTGAGGAGAGAAGAAAATGTGCATTACACAACTCTGTGGTGTGGGCCTGGTGTATGTGTGTGTGTGAGAGAGAGACAGACAGACAGACACAGACACAGAGACACAGACACAGAGACAGAGGAGACACCTGAAACTTGAGCACTTCCTACTGAGCTATGCCACTTCAAGATATCACAGCAACAGAGAATAATCTAGCTCAGGCCAGGGCTGAAGATGTCTTTCCAAAGGGGAGCGCTCCAGAGGTGGTATGAGCTGTAAGCTGGAGAAAGGTACTCTGGGCAGAGAGCAGCCAGGCCAGCCCTGAGACATTAGAAGCCTGCTGTCACTGGAGCTTTATTCCCTGGGGCTGGTGGTGATGGCAAGGTGAGTGACAGGAGATGGGGCAGGATCCAGAGCCCAGCCCAGCCCTTGGAATTCCTCCTGACAGCCTGGGCGTTACAGAATTATTTTAAGCATGAAGTTACATAATCAGATTCAGAGGTGGCTTAGAGGGACGCCAGATCATTAGGTGAACTAACTAGGAGGCTCTTACAGAATAAGACACTAAATCCCAACGGAGGCACTGGACCTTGGAAGAGAGACAAAAACAGTTGCCTTGGAGTTAGATTCCTGTTTGTGTTCCTTATCTGTTCACCGGAGGCCTCCCAGCATCTGAGAGTACAGCTCAGTCCCTCTAGGGGGCGCTCAGAGCTGCCTCCTCTGGCGCCCGCTCCACTCTCAGCAAGCGGTTGTCATGCGGAGAGTGACGAACGACAAACCAGGTGTCACTATTTGCCTTTTGTGGCAATGGAAACAGAGGCTTAGAAAGGTTGACTTCAAGTCACATACAGTCAGCTGCAATAAAGCCATCCCCAGGTGCCACACCCGCTCTGGGGACGGCAGCAAGGCCACCAGGTGACAGCAATCATGGGGCACCCAGGCCAGACCCTGCCTTGCCCACGCATGAACACAGGTTGGACCTCCGTGGCAAGGCCAGGGCACTGGCACCCTTGGCTATTCCCTCCTGGAAAGTGAATATCACGTCCCTGGCACTGTCCCCACTAAGGAATGAGTTCTTGGCCTCCCCTCAGTGAGGGTCTCCACCCTGACCAGCTCCCATTAATTGCCACCTCTCCTATGTGTTCCAGCCTCTTGCTTCCTGTTCCTGCACCATGAAAATCCTGCTCTGTGACCTCCTGCTGCTCAGCCTGGTCTCCAGTGTGTTCAGCAGCTGCCCCAAAGACTGTGTCACCTGCCGGGAGAAGCTCCGCCCAGCCCTGGACAGCTTCAACCTGGAGGTGGGTCCAAGAGGCCCCGGGACCACCCTCCCCCCATCCCCCTCCCCCACCCCTCTCCTGAGCAGACCCGGGTGTGAAACTCTGGCCGCTCCCAGAGTTGGTGGGATCTGTCCAGTGTCACCAGACCAGGAGACTGCGGGAGACTTGAGCTGCATCTTCTCCATTAGGCCCCTTGTGTCTACCCGCGTGACCACGTGACCACATGTCCACATGACCACACGCCCATGCTGCTCACCTACTCCCAGTGTGAAAAGAATGCATTCTCTTTTTCAGAGAATTTGGTAAATCCTGAGACACAGTCTTAAAAGAACATTAAAATCACCGTTATTCCTGGCAGTCAGAGAAAGAATCCCCCTAGTTTTTACTTCCCATAGTGTACCAACCAAGATCAGAATCTCCATGTCCTTACCCATTTTCTGAAATTATTTCCTTCTGGGAACACAGCATAACTTATTCTAACATTACCTGCCTGCTGAGCACATATGTTGCCCTCCAATTTTTATCTTCCAGATGATTCTACAGTAAACATTCGGGTATCTGGAGTGCCCTCTTATTATCTTAAAATTTTTCAGCGGGTGGGGGGGGTACAAATTATTACTCATTAAGGGACCCAATTTCTCACCTCCTTCAATTTCAGTCTACAAAATCACTCCTCTCCCGTGGAATTCAGTATAATTCAATTATTTTTTTTTCCTTTGAAGTTAATTAAACCGCTTTCAAGACATCACATTTCAACCCCCCTCCCCCAGCCTTTCAGAACAACCAAAGTAGTTGCTCCTGCAGTGCAGGCCATGAAAGCCTCAGTGTTCTTGCTGGACTAAACACCTTAGCAGCTCAGCTCCGGAGATGACCAGCCTCAGCCCCGGCAGACGCGCCGCACCCCAGGCCCTTTGCTTTTGTTGGTGTTGGGGGAGGTCTCATGCTTTTGCCCACCTGGGACCCCAATCCTCCCGTCGCCACTCCACGAGTAGCTCAGATTTCAGGTGTGCAGCACCCCATCTCTCCCTCTTCCTCATCCACCATGTTTTCCTCTGAGCACCTACCCTTCCCATTACTCCGTCCTTCAGGATACCAGTCCCCTCTTGGTTTTTGTCCCCAGTTTGTGGGTCTCCTATGTTAGCCCATGTTTGTGTACCCACCCCCCAAAAAAACATGGGAATAGACCCATAAGAGCCTCACAATCAGAGATAAATGCTTCACAGTGCCTGCTACCCCCAACCCCAGACTGATTTCCTGCTTAGTTGTTTGTAGTTTGTGTTCACCTTTAACCTATTTTTAAATTGGATAAAATGCCAAGTATGTAGACAACCCTGTCTCATTTCCCAATCTGGTAACCTTTGAATATACCCACCATGCAAATGATGGACAGGAGAGGTTCATATTTCAGCCATCGCGTTACATAATCCTATGCTGTTCCCACGAGCCTCAGGACTCTTGGCTTCATCAAGAATTCTTTTCTAGTTCTATTCCTGGTAGATAGCCCAAGGATGACTGGGTTTGTTCTTGGTGTTGTTAGCTTTGGCTGCTAGTAAGTGACTAGCCCATCGAACCCACTGAAACATCCTAGCCTTTCACTTAGCTGTGAATGGCAACGACTCCATTGGGTTAAGTCAAAGAACTACATTGTTTTGGTTTTTTTTTTTTTTTTGGTCCGGTCGTGGGGCCTGAACTCTGGGCCTGGGCGCTGTCCCTCAGCTCTTCAGCTCAAGGCTAGCACTCTACCACTTGAGCCACAGCGCCACTTCCGGCTTTTTTCTTTCTGCTTATGTGGTGCTGAGGAATCGAACCCAGGGCCTCATACATGCAAGGCCAGCACTCTACCACTGAGCCACCTTCCCAGCCCTACATTGTTTTGGAGACCAAGATTTAGGCAACTAACCCTCAAGAAGCAGTCTGGGGAAATAGACTGAAAAGTTCTTGAAGCTATATTATAAAAGAAGCTCCCTGTGCGTGCTCGCTGTGCCAATTCAATGAAAACTCTTGACAGAAGACCTTCCACTTGCAATGGAAGCTTCTTGTCTTTTCTTCTGTGCAGTTCATCCTTCAACATTTTAGCAGGACCTCCTAGAGCACACAGCCTCCAAACAGCATTTAGCAGCAATATTGTCAGGAACTAAACCATTCCAGAGGCCCTTTTCTTTTCCCTTCAAAGGGCTCAAGTGTCTGTTCCCCATTTTTTGAGGCGGGGTGGGGGGTGGTCACTGGTTGCGGGGCTTGAACTCAGGGCTGGGCTCTGTCCTTGGGATTTTGTAGTCCTCTACCACTCTGCACCACAGCTCCTCTTCTGATTTTCTGGTGGCTAATTGGAGATAAGAGTCTCACACATGTTTGTGCCCAGGCTGGCTTTGAACCTCTCTCCTCAGATCTCAGCCTCCTGAACAGCTAGGATTCCAGGCATGGGCCACCAGTGCCCCCGGCTTCTGCTCCTCATTTTGCACACTGATCTTGGTTTCGAGTGCTAGGGTGAACCATGGCCTCACACAATAAGACACGATAGGCAAGTGCTCTTCTGCTGTGCTACACTGCCGGCCTCTGTCCTAATCTTTGATCCAGACATCCAAATGGCCCTTTGCTCCATTTCCTTACAAGGCTAACTTTGCAGACCAATTTGGCTCCTGTCTGGGACTCCAGATGCTCTTGCAAACTCTGATTTCATATAGCTGGAAAATGTGTCCAGTTCACTTAATAGACCATTAACCCATCTCTGGAAAGAGGCTGGTGAGGGCCCTGCGCAGAGGGTTAGCCATTAACTCATACACCCATCTGGTGTTAGCAAATGTTGTTGTGAATTCAGATGCCGCATGTTTTCCCTAAACCTTCTCCTAAATCAAGAGTTGAGATGATTTGGTCAGTCTCTAATTTATCTAACCGTGTGTTGGGTCTGTGGAAGGACTGTGGCATCTGGCGCCATCCTAAAATTTCATTGCCTCTGATTGACACAAAATGTAATTACCCTCTGGACTTCGCGATACAAAAAGCTCACAGAAGATCCAGTCACCACTACACTTCACCTCCCACCTGTCTCTATAAACCAAAGGAACAGAACACTTTAACTAGCCTCCGAGACGCCTATTGTGTAACAACTGGACTGAGTATGCCCCCATCCCCGTGCTATGCAATCTTGGGGCTCTCCACACCTCCCTGCATTCCTGCTGACTCCTGGAGACTGGGGTTTTTCAAATTCACCACCCTGAACATCCAATGCTGGGCCATCGGGTGTGGCTGGGAACCATTCTCTGCCCTTCATGATTTTTTTGTGTTCATCGGTCTCCTCTGGCCTAGGGGCATCCGCTGACACACACAATATGACAACCAGAATGTCTCCATATTCTAGAAGATCCATTGGTTAATAGAATTTAATAGAATGTCTGCTACTTACCAGAAGAACCCTAACTTTGACTTAAAAATATTGCATTTTTTTAATGAAACCTTAACTGTCCACCAGAGCACGATGCAGGGGCAGGAGGAAGGCGTGCTTGCCAGGAATCCAAAAGAAGGTGTGGAAGAGCAGGGAGAAGCACTGGGGCGTGGCCGAGTTGAAGGGGGTCCTTCCCTGCTGGGGACAGAGGTGTCAGGAGCTTCCCCGTGCGTGGGGGAAAGCAGACACAAGCCATAAAAAGTGGTCTAGAGCCGCCAGTGGGGGGATTTGAAGGCCCTGCTCAAGAATCTAGAACTATTTTACAGCTAGGACAAAAATGTCAAGGGCAACCTAAGGACGTGAGCGGAGTTATTGCTTAGGAGAAGACCTCTGCCTGCAGTGGATTTGAGCGGCAAAGAGAGCTGGAGAGCTGACTGAGAGGCACTTGACAGTGGCTGTGTGGATGGGAGGGAGAGGCAGGCCTGGGGGAGTCAGAAAGGAGAACGAGATGCACCCCAGGTTTTAAAGCTCAGTCCGCTGAGGAAGAAGGCGCCTTTAGGAGAGAGACAGAGAGCCCAAGCAGAAAACCAGTCCTTCCCATCCACATGCAATTCGTGTGCTGTTCACAAAGACCTAAAACAGCAGCCACAGCTTAAACAAGACAGAGATTCCATTCCTGGTGAGAGGTGAGTCAGGGTAACATGGCGGCTTGGGAACCTCTGTCCTGCTCTGACAGCACTGGCTCCTCCCCCAGTGGCCTGAGGATGTCACAGTGGCCACAACAGAGCATCCACCAAAATGCCCCCACTCCAAACGAAAGGCAGGAGGAAGGAGAGGGAGAAGGAAAAAAGAATGTTCTTTCCCGCTGAGCCGGACCCTACTTTTTTTTGGGGGGAGGGTCCCATGGATTGTATCGTTCTGTCTCTGGCCACCTCTGGCTTCGGGGAGAGGTTGTGAGATATCCGTGCTGCGTTCCCAAAGCAACGGTGTTCTGCTAGAACGGAATGGGACGGGGTACACATGGTGGGCACTGGGCAGCCTGCGCCCCACGAGGGGCCCTGGCATCCAGGAAAGAAAGAGCTACAACTTGACCGCAGCTCTGCTACTGCCTGCCGGTTCGTGACGGCGAGGTCAGGTGCGGCGGCTTTCCATCTGACCAAGGCCAGAAATACAGGCAGGAGAATTGGGAGTAAAGCCAAAACAGTCAACAGAAAGAAAAGCTGGTGGCAGAGGCTCCCAGGAGACCCAACCAGAGACAGGAAGGTAGGAGCGAGTCACGGAGGGCAGGAGTGAGAGACGGCGTGGTCGGGCTGGGTCCTCCCTGAGAGGCCGTGCTACCTGGGAATCGAGATCAGTCACAGGGTGTTTCTGGAGGAGTGTGTGGATCGCACCTGTGGGTGGATTTCAGGGTTAGCCCCACCTATCCAGCCTGCCTACATTCCAGAAGATTCACTCCAAGAGTGATGGCCAGTGTGTGTAGAATAAAATAATCATAGTCATAACACTGCCAGGGTTGATGTTTACCCAGTGAGCCTAAAAATACATGGGCGAACCAAGCGCTAGTGGCTCAGGTCTATGATCCTATCTACTCAGGTGGCTGAGATTTGAGGCTCCAGGTTTAAAGCAGGAAAGTCTGTGAGATTCTTATCTCCAGTTAACCACCAGAAAACCGGAAGTGGAGCTGTGGCCTTGAGCAAAATGAGAAAAATTGCTCAGGGACAGCACCTAGGCCCTGAGTTCAAGCCCTATGATATAATAATAACAATAACATGGGGCTGGGAAGGTGGCTCAGTGGTAGAGCGCTTGCCTTGCATGCATGAGGCCCTGGATTCGATTCCCCAGCACCACATAAGCAAAAAGAAAAAAGCTGGAAGTGGCGCTGTGGCTCAAGTGGTAGAGCGTTAGCCTTGAGCTGAAGAGCTGAGGGGCAGTGACCAGGCCCAGAGTTCAGGCCCCATGACCAAACCCCACCCCCCTAAAAAATAATAATAACAACAATAATAATAATACAGGGACAGACTTAGCTACAGTTTCCTACCCCCTAATCTCTTTTTGGGGGGGGGAGGGGTCCAGTTGTGGGGCCTGAACTCTGGGCCTCGGCGCTGTCCCTCAGCTCTTCAGCTCAAGGCTAGCGCTCTACCACTTGAGCCACAGCGCCACTTCCGGCTTTTTTCATTTTGCTTATGTGGTGCTGGGGAATCGAATCCAGGGCCTCATGCATGCAAGGCAAGTGCTCTACCACTGAGCCACCTTCCCAGTCCCCAGCCCCCCAATCTCTTTAAGCAATCTGATCTTCCCAATGCCTGGTGTGAGAATGGAATAAACTGCTTCTTTCTGGGTGTCATTCATGAGCTATGCTACAAAACCCTGGCTAAGGATGCAGCAGGCTGTAGTTTGGGGTGCCTTCATTCTGTTAATAGACTGTGTCCCCGGTTAAAGATCATGTCTGAACCCTGGCTTCTTTGTTAGAAGAATGGAACTGGCCCACATGGTTCTTTCTCTTTCCATCTCTGACAGATGATGAACCTGAAACTCTCTGTAAGCCTTGAGGGACAAATTCGTCTCCCAGGCTTGGCCTAACAGAGGCCCCTCCCTGTCCCCCCTGTGTCCTTGCAGGTGTGCATCCTGGAGTGTGAGGAGAAGGTCTTCCCCAGCCCTCTGTGGACTCCATGCACCAAGGTCATGGCCAGCGGCTCCTGGCAGCTGGGCCCTGCCGACCCAGAGCACGTGGCGGCCGCTCTTCACCAGCGCAGAGCCTCGGACCTGCAGCACCTGAAGCGAATGCCCCGTGTCAGGAGCCTGTTCCAAGCACGGGAAGAGACAGAGCCTGGCACGGATGAGGGTGGCGAGGTGGAACAGAAGCAGCTACAGAAGAGGTTTGGGGGTTTCACCGGGGCTCGGAAATCAGCCCGGAAGTTGGCCAATCAGAAGCGGTTCAGTGAGTTTATGAGGCAGTACCTGGTCCTGAGTCTGCAGTCGAGCCAGCGTCGGCGCACCCTGCACCAGAATGGTAATGTGTAGCCGGAAGGGGAGCCCCTCCCAGCTGCACCGGCCACTGCAACCCATGAGTGAGTTGGGCACCAATGAGCTCATATACCCAATGGCTTAGGCTTTATTTCAGGCTTGGAAACACATTAGCACACATGCACATGTGTGCAGACACACACATGCACACACACACACACAGAGTCCCTCCCCCTCTCTCTAGCTCTCTCTCCCTCATACATATATATCCATATATATGTTTATATTTACATATGTGTATGTATATGTATATGATGTATATGTATGTATGTATAGCAAAGACCCCAGCTGCAGTGATGCTGGTGAGGGAAATCCACCTGCCTGCTTCCTGCCCACCCTTTCTCTAGGTAGCAAAGATTTTCCTATGATTGCTCCTTGAGGCTGACCACTCCCATTTAGAGATTGGTCACCATGGGGATAATAGTAGTATGTTAAGATAACTAATCCCTCTAGAGCCTCCAGGAGCTTAGTTACTATGGGGACAGTTAAGTGGACCAATTCTCCCAGCCAGTTGCCATGGCAACCATTCAGCTCACCTTTCCTGGGAGACTTTATCTCAAAAAGCCAATAGCCGGGCCTACCCTTAGCCATCTGCAGAGAGGAGATTATTGTGACTATGGCTTGTCTCACCTTCAAAGATGGCTTACCTACCTCTTGCTTCCTCTGTGTTTCAAAGTGACTGAGCTCCATGGAAATCATTAAACTTTCCCATTTCTGCCAGCTGAGGAGGGCTTCATAAGACCAGGAGTTTTGCTTTCTGCTTTTCTTTCTTCCACCGGTAATCTGTCCATCCCACCATCTTGCCAGTGTGATCAATGGCACAACCACCAAGCTGAGTCTTAAGAATTTGCTCACGTGACTCAGTAGTTCTTAGAATGCAAACTGTGCGATCTATCTTCTTTCCTTGACTTTTGTTTCTTTCCAGGGTACCATTTTTGTCTTGTCTTTGTTCCTCTTCCTTGCTCTCTTTTTCCTTTCCCCTGTTCCTACCACTACAGGCAAACCTATACAAGACCAGCTAACATACAGCCAAGGCCCAATTCTCCAAAGCCAAGCACTCCAAACTCAATTTTTCTTAGCTTACCAACCAACAGGACTTTAGATAGTATTGGCAGCTAGCAAAGTAGATGTCAGGAAATCTTAACCATCATGTCTATATGCCTAAGTTTTTTTCGGGGGGGAGTCCAGTGCTGGGCCTGGTGCTGTCCCTCAGCTCTTCAGCTCAAGGCTAACGCTCTACCACTTGAGCCACAGTGCCACTTCTGGCTTTTTTCTTTTTGCTTATGTGGTACTGAGGAATCGAACCCAGGGCCTTAAGCATGCAAGGCAAGCACTCTACCACTGAGCCACCTTCCCAGCCCATGTGCCTAATTTTTCATATAGGAATATGATTGTGGCAGAATTCCACACATCTCTTAACGCAGTCTGGAAACCTTGTCTAATGGGAGCAGAAAGGATTTAAAAAAACAAAAACAAAAACAAAAAAACCTGGTCTGTTTGACAAAATCATCCCAAAGAATTACCCAAGTAAGGAGGGCGATTCTGATTGAGGGGTATAAAAGAAAAATGTCTGCCTGTGTTCTCTTATTTCCCTTCCTGAAAGCCAAAAGTAACCATGTCATGAATAGTCCTCCCTCAGGATATACTCATCTGAATGTTCATCTTCAGTGCCCGCATCTGGGCATGGAGGCAGCTACATAGGACCTTGGAAGGAAGCTGGCCAGCTTACGTGCAGCAAGCTCATTGCCAAAAACGGCAACCTGTATTAAGTTGTGGGGAGAAGGCGGTTGTGTTCATTTGAGAATGACTAACCTGTAGAGGTCCCGGGTGAACTGCGCTGGGTCTAATGTCGTACTCTCGGATCCTTTCTGCTCCATTCCCAGCCACACTGGCACAGTCCTAACAGTAAATCTTTCAGAAGCAGTGTGGATTACATTCTGCTAAAGCTTAAAGACATTTTTCTCAATAGTGGGTCTTGAGGGACATGAAAGACCACGTGTAATTCTAAACCACAGTATTCTTTACCTAAAGACAGTTCAAGGTCACTCCCATTAACACAAATCAATTTAGTTGGGAAAACTACTGGAGCAGACAATTGCTTTTTCTGATTCTCTATTATACTTCCCACTGAGAGGTGCTGAACGGCGCTGGTAAACTAGCTTCTGTCAGCTGCATTGCTCCAGATGAAAGTTGGTGATAGAAACTCTGGAAACATCGACCTGCTCTTTGGGTGTTACTGATGGCTCTCTTTTCTCCTGTATGACCATCTCTGTTTCTATTTTCCACACTGTTGAGTTCCGGTGTGGACACATTAATGAGGCAGCTGAAGCCTCGTGTTTACTTATTCACATACACACAACCCAACCTGCCCTACACATGATAAAGATTCTTCCAGCCAACCAACTCCTATTGCCAAAGCAGTCCATGATTTCTGAGACATCCAAAATCAGTCTCTATTCAGCAGGCTGGAAGGGAGTAGAACCACCCGTGACTGGAATGGGGTCAGAACCTCTTTGAAAGTATAATGATGTCTTAGGAGAAGGGCACTGGATATAGTCCCACCCTGGACAGAATTGTGGGGATGGCCCGGTGCTGGCTGCTCCTGCCTAGAATCCTAGCTACTCAGGAGGCTGAGATCTGAGGATCTTGGTTTGAAGCCAGCACAGATAGGAAAGTTCATAGGATTCTTATAGCCAATTAACCACCCAAAAATCTGGAAATGGAGCTATGGCTCAAGTGGCAGAGTACCAGCCTTGAGTTAAAAAAAAAAAAAAAA